AAAAATTAGAGGAATTCGATTACAGTCCTTTGCTAAATGAACCGCATTGTGCGATTGCTGCTTCTTAATTTATTATTATTGCTAGTGATAGAAACTTGTGGAAGCATATTCTCTTCAATAAGAAATAGAAACATCGAGCCAGAATGGCATCAAGCAAAATGGTGTCAGAATAATTATCACTAGAATGACATTTTCCTTAAAACGGCGTTTATAATTAATGAATATAGGCCTCGTTGTTAGTCTTTAATTTCATATGTTTCGCTTATTTATCGTTAAAAACACGTGTAATCGAATGGAATTTTATTTTATACAAAAATTTTGCAAAATTTTTACAATTACTCTTAATATAGATTCACTTACCCAGAGAACAAACGAATATCGAATTTTTCGACGAATCGAAATACGAAACCATTCTGTCTCGACGTAAAAATCAAACGGTACAACATTTCAAGTAGAAAATAGTAAATGTGAACTAGTCAGTTAATTGAACTAAAAAGATACTTACTATAAACAGGGACCGAATATCAATTAAAAGAAAAGAACACGTAATAAAAAATTAAAAACTTTTATTTTCATGATAAAAGACTAAAATAATTGTTCGCAATATTTACTATTTTCTCTTATAAATATCGTTCATCTAATTTCTGCTTGACACCCATTATACAATTACTAGATCTTATCGACGATCAAGAGGACAGCTATTTATTATCAATTTATTTAATCGATGATTATGTACAATATCGACGCAAATAAAAAAACATCGTATTCCTTATCGTTATAGTTGTAATCGTTAACAACAAGTGTCAGGTGTACCACCTGTTACGAAGTTTCCGAAAAAATTTTACTTGAAGAAAGATGTTTGTTTCTCTGTTGTTCCGGGCTGGCAGTAGCGTTGTTTTTTTTTTGTGCTAAATTGTTTCTTTTCTTTTTTTTTTTCTTTTGGTAGCTATGACTTTAACCTGGATCTTCTTACGAGTAATAATTCTCTCTCTGTTGGTATAACGGCAATGGAGTCACGGGCGAGAGATCCTCGTCATCTAAGCTCGATTCGGTCTTCAAGGGGAGAGTGGCGAGTGCTTTTACTATTCACCATTATAAAAAAGGAATTACTTTCGTTTTATAATTAAGTATTCGCTGGAGAATTACTTTGGGCTCGTGATTTATTTCAGGAATTGAAGAATTTAAAATAAAAGCAATTTTTCTAAATTCATTCATTTTTCCAACAAACGTTTAACAGCTAGAAAAAAAGATCATTTGGAAAAAATGAGAGAATTATTCGAGGAAGAAACGTATGAGGGGAGATGGAAAAAATGAAAGAAAATAAAAACAAACCTGAAAAACGATAATATGATGTGCGTGTCCTATATGGGGGGATGGAGAAAGCATGTCAGTCAGTGTGCCTGGTTACCTATACACAGCATAAACAATCCAAACAACACTCACTACGTATGATACAACTATATCTTATGTCAATGAGGAAATTATTTATATAATCGGAATTAAAATAATTGCGACGATGCATGCCAATGAGAAGTCTTCGAATCTTATGTTCGGAACTAAAGAATGCTATGATCCTACTCCTCTAGATACTATTAATTGCAGTATCATTGCACTTTTGTAAACATTCTAAAAAATAAAAAAAATGACAGATGCCAACATTCTTCTGGTTCCCATAAGATGATAAGATACAAGTAAAAAAAAATATACAATGGACGAATTTTATAAGCGCAAGCCTTCTGTACTAAAACATCAGAAGGCACGAAAGCCACTCTAAACATTGGTCATGCTATCACACTACTAAACGCTATACATTAGATTCATGCAGAATGAATCAAACGGGTAAAAGTATCTTAGACTGATTAAAGCGACGGTTCAACGTACCCGCCACCATCTTGCTTTTTTCCATAACTTGCTTAGCCAAAATTTGATTCAGCTGCAGAATATGCTCCCTTTGTCTCTTTTCTTCCACCACTTTCCTCTTTAAGCTGTCGGACTGTTCTACGTTAATACTGTCGTCTGGAAAAAATTACATTTTACTTGAGTATATAATCAATTTTAAATTATTAGTGAAATTTTGAGTGAGTTTAGTGATTTTCAGTGAATGGAAGTTTAGTGGATTTCAATAATTTGTTAGTGAAGTGGAACTGCATGAATTCATACCACTTCCATCTGGTGCAGTAACTGTTGTTTCTGACAGCATCTTCCTTATTGCTTCTGCTTTCTTCAATCTCTGTTCCTGCTCTTCTGCAGTCAACTCTGGTGTCTGAAAAGTAACAATTTAAACATCATGCTGAGGTAATGTAGTTGTGTAATATTTAATATTATTTTAAAGTTAAGTTAGGTTGCATCATTTTGAAGTTATATCGCTATTTATATCTGTATATACATTAATGTTAATTATATGTGATTGTTAAAAATACCAGTGACTTTGGAAAGTCACAAATAGAGGAAACAATCAGATAATCTCTTTTGGATAGAAGACTGTATTAGGATTTAACACTATTTCACACAATGAAATACAAAAGAGTTCTTCACCTGTTCAGGAATATATCTCTCAGGAATAACAATCTTATTTGGGGTCCCCAACAGCTGATCAATAGTACTTTCATTGTACTTCAGCTCCTTGTGACTCAAAGTGGATCTCACAACATCAGGAGCATTGATCCTCGGCCGAAGTGCTCTTTCCATATCCAAATCATCCCTAGCCCTGCCCATTCCCTATAAAACATCAAGGACACCACCTGTACACGCCGCACACACACCAACCCAACGACACATGAACCACAATTGCAAAGCCACGCCAAGGAAAACATATAGACAATGCAAAAAAAAAAAAAACCAACAGATATATATGAAAGAACAAACTAAACGAGTATAGATGAAAATGAGGAAGGCAACGAAGAGAAATACAAAGAAAAGAAAAGAAAAAAAAAAAGAAAAAAGATACCATCTTTGAGAAGGTGTCTTCTAGGTCGAGGACAGGTTTACTACTGGACACGGTATAGTGTCTCCTTTTTTCACGAGGGATCTGCCTGCGTCTTGGTCCCTCTACCTTTTTCTCCGTCATCTCCTTAATAATCTGTTTTGCCGCTTCACTCTTGAATACAGGAGATAATTGCGGAGAAGTTGAAGTGTTTACGTTCAAAGATGAGCCAAACTGTCTATCTTGACCTTCTAGGCTTGTTGGTGATAATAATTCAGGGCTGATAGGTTCTTGGATGTTCTCGTTCTTCATAGGATTCTCATAGTGCCTATAAGGTGGATAATATGGCGGTTGATGGTGGTTCGTTCTAATGGCATAGCTCTGCTGGCTGGGGCTGTACGATGGGCTGCTGGTCGAGTAGTTAGGCGAGCTCATGGGCACGTGGGAGCTGGACGCGAGGCTCTCCGTGTACGGTGATAGGGTACTGTCTGAGCTTCCATCTTGGTTTTCAAACTGCGTTCACCAATGGAGGAAGTAGTGGTGGAAGGTGGTGAACAAAATAGGGGCGAAACCAATGAAAAGAGAAGAAAGAAACAAATGTATGAAATTATATGACTTGCTGATTGAGGATTGTGATACCTATGATTACTGTTTGGGTGTTGTGTCGATGCGCTTAATGTAAACCTCTTTTTTTTTACATGCAACATGTGAGGTGATTTGTATTTCTGATACTGAAAACTTATAATATCGTGCAAAATTGGTTATTACAGACACGAAGTTATTATTTACACTATACGGGAACATAAATTGTTAGCGCAGTAGAATATTCTTCAAAAATTAATGAAATTTAACCCTTTCACTGTGATGTGATCCAACAAAAACAAATTATTTAAGCAACTATAATGCGACATTTGAATAAAAAAGGTGCCAGTGCATTATTAAAGGTCAAATAAATCTTATTGTCACTATTTGCAATTATACTGAAAAAAGCCACTTATAAATTAACCACCCTGTATATACATCTTTTACAATCTTATGATTATGGACTTTAAATGTTAAAAAAGACGTAGATCCGTAAAGGTAAATATTTAATAAAATGGAATTAGCTCACCCAGTTAGCGCATTAATATTAAAAACGAATTGAAATAAAAAATTCGTCGAGGTGTTAACTTACTCTGACTTTGTTCCGTCGCGCGAGCATAGTTCTCAGAGCGTGCATGCTGTCGCTTCTGGGAGGAGGCACCACCGGAACCTGATGAATTTCTGGTTGCTGTTGCCGCTGTCCGCCGAAACCTCTCGGTAAGGACATGCTTCTTTGGAACTGCACGTCGTCCAAATCCGTCAATTGGACTGTGCTTTGAGCGTGAATGATCGGCGACTCTTCTACCACCTTTCCCAATTGGGCCTTCTAAAAATATATCGATTGGAATAAATAATAGAGCAAAATAAAATCGACTCTACGACATCGTAGATGCCGTTTGCGACGAAGCTGTGGCACTATAGACACTATAAAAGCTTATACAGGATGTTTTAAAACTGTAGATCAATGGAAGAAAGATGGCAGGGAATGTGATGACATTAGATTCTTTGTTCCTTTTTTTTGAAGTATGTTTTCAAGGTCATCTTCTACTTTTTTATGTATAACCACATAATTTTTTTTTAAATAATGGAATGATATGGTGATTAAAAACATAAAAACACGTGTACTGTTTTTCACATAAATTGTAGAGTTGCAAATTACATAAATTGTACGAAATTAAGGGATAATGGTAATCCTAAGAATTTAAGGAGATTACCTCGAACTTCTGAGAACCTCCTAAATCGTCATCACACAATCTCTTCGCACTCCCAGGCGCCTGAAGCCCGTTCGTTAATGGAATTCCAATGTTTCCAGTTCTGTCTCCCCGATCTCTTTGCCGTCTTTCCGATTCTCGTTTCACGATTCGCACGGTCTTAATCTCTTGTTTCTCACGATTGTGAATTAAACCTTGAAAGACACCATTTATCACGAATTATCGATCACCATTGTGACACAGCATATGTTACGCGTTGTTGCTTCACTTACTGGCAAACTTGTTGTCCTCATTTTGTCTGTAATTATCATTTAATAATGCTTCTTCGTTCAGTGGTGGAGGAGGAGGGGGTGGTACGTATTCCGGCGGAGGAATCATTGTGCCGTTGGTCAGCTTCTCTTCCTGCTTGTTGTTTTCTGGAATTAGAAATTGTTTAAAATTTAATTTTTAACATAAATACAAAAACTATTCTATATTTTTACGAAGTATGTTCTACTCAATTTTTATTTTTTTGTTTTAATTGGAGGAAAATTATCTTTAAACTCTCAATTTTCAAAAGCTTCAAAAGTTTTTTTTAGGATTACATATAAATATTTTATCCAAAGCAAAAACCACTTAATCTGTTAACTAGAGAAGACCAGTTAACTCGTAATTGGTTAGCCAATACTTAGAACACAATAGTTCATTGAAGGATTGTTTTAATTATACTTTTATTTCTGTTTGAGAGGTGAGCCAGCCCAGTTAACAAGTTAAAATTCCCTTTAGTGCAATTGTTTTTCCTCAAATCAATACACACTTCAATCAATCCTCAAATCACCTGGAATCCTAGAATCTGTGTTGACGTACAAAGGGGCGACATTCGCTTGTATTAGACTCCCCTTGCCCTGCATCTGATCCTTCAAAAGCTGTTGCTTCAATTGATGCTGTTGAATCTGCTCCCGTAATTGAGGTGAGAGGGAGGATATATGGTTCTGCGGTGACTGAGGGTACGTTTGTTGATTCGTCTGCTGACGATTCGTGGGCGAAGAATCTTTGATCTGCGTTGGTGAACTGTAATGTGGATATGGTCCACCGTTCTGCTTTCCACGAGGTGATGAGGACAACGCTGGGCTCGATGGGGAATCCAAGCCGTGGTCCAAAGTTATCCCAGAATCGAGATCAGTTTCCAACCAGGAATTCTGCGTCCGTTTCTTAGGCTGATGCACTTGGGGAGCTGCATTAAAAATATATATCATTTATTTATTTATTTATTAATATGTATAAAGTTCATACATAATTCAAATGTACAATTTGATTAAAGTGAACAATATAAGTATATATACACTTTGGGGATTTGTGTTACAAGATATAACGGAAGATTAGATAGGAACAAATTTTTTTCTGTGAAAATTGTGGTATATTTAATACAAAATTTGTGCATGATCAAAGATGTATGGAGATCTTCACTTCATAGTTAAACATAAAAAGTGATCAAAAATGTTGATTTACAATGTATCAAGTATCAGGCATTAAGGTATCTTACATATATTGGTGGATTAATTGTTTAGATCAGTACTGTGCAAATTACATTACAAGTGTAGAAAGGACTAAAAATCGTATCAGAGGTTCTACCTATGGACAATGGAGGTTTAAACCACTGGAGTCCCTATATGTAGAGCCCTATAGAACAAATGTTTGTGGCAAATACTTATATTTATATTATTAACTTAGAAATTTCTGAATGAACTCGAAACTTCAAACAAAAAGCTTTATATAATCCTTCCTCCAAACTTTGAAGTAAGAAAATAGCATAAACTCACCAGAAGAGGGTTGTGGTCGAATCTGTTGCACTAAACTATGAGACTTCTCAGTCAGCTGCCTAACCTGAATGCTCAATTCCTTTCTCTGTCTCTGAAGATCACCCACCAACTGCTGAACTCTTCTTAATTCCGCTTCCAAAGGTCCAGTAGTGGCTGAAGTATCCCTTGTCATGTTCCCTGCATATCTTCTGGATGCCTGAAGCTTCTGTCTTAATACAACCAGGTCCTGTTCCAATCTAGCATTCTCGGCGACAGTTTCTTCCAGTTTCTGAAAAGCAAAAATATGAAAAAAATCTCATTTATACCCTCTTCACAAGTCTAAACAGCTAAGACGTCGACGACAAAATTATACTGTGCGAACAAAACGGAAATGTATCTATTTCTGTGTTTTGATTGATTTACCTGAAAGGATACCGGCTTTACCTGGAAACAACGAATGGAAAATTTAATTATTCAGAGAAATCAGTGTGTTCCTTCGAACGGTGCATGCTCATCGTTCTCCTACAGGGTCTTTCGAAAGCACAAGTACAAAGTGTACAAGTCAGAAAAAATCTCGATCAACATGTCAGAAAATGAAACATTTCGGAGATACTGAATTTTTGTCATCTGATACTGGATCACTTTCGTAATGAGCGCGGCGACGCTAAATAAGTATCGAACGAATATATCGATCGTGTTAAATTGAGTAACTCACGTAAATTGATTTGCACATATGTATCAATCGGTATTCGTTAAAAAACAAGTGCATTCTATCATGTGTAAAATAAGTAGTCAATCAAAAAATTAGGTTATGTTACGAACTAAAAATCTAAATATCTTTGAAACGGTTCATTTTTCGACACATGTTTACCGAAATCTTTTTCTTTGTTTCATCGAGTTCAATCAATCTGTATAGTTTGTACCTATACTTTTGAAACATTCTGTATTATAAGATGAAAAAAAAAATCGAATCGTTAGATGTTCTTTTCAATGGATAGAAACGGGGAAATCCCGATTACTTGCAGCGGAGTTGTTATTCGTTCCGCAACGATAAATTTCTTGCCCCGCTAAGAATAGATCGCCGGAACAATTCCGGCGAAAGAAAACTTTTCGATTGAATTCGC